GTATAGGGTAAGGAGTGTCGTTTGGGGTTCATAGTATCGTATCTTGGAAAGGATGCCTACTGATATGAAAATTTTCTTGGATATATGCTGGATGTGAGATTGAAATTTAAGTTTACAGTCAAGGAGAAGCCCTAGAAATTTACTCAGTGTGTCTTCCAATAGGGGGAACCATTTATCGACATATTAAGTTTGATATTTAAGGCTCTGTTTCCAAACAGCATGAAGCAAGTTTTGTCTATGTTGAGAGTTAGTTTGTTAGTCATCATCCAAGTATGCATTTTTAGCTGCTCGTTGTTTACAGTGTCTCTAAGTATAGCTGGGTTTGAGTGGGAATAGACATTAGTAGTATCGACTGCGAATAGAACTTGTTTAAAGAGTTGAGATGCTTTGGGGAGATCATTGATGTAGATGAGAAAGAGCCTGGGGCACTCCGGCAGCTACAGGCTGGATAGTGGAGTTGACTCCATTTGTGTATACATACTGGTGTCTTTCGTTAAGATAAGATTTTAGGTAATCGAGGGAATGTCCTCTGATGCCGTAATGATTTAGTTTTAGCTATCAGAACTTTGCAGCCAAGTCCTTGAACCCATTATGTGCCTCTGTAATCTTTTAATTACTGCCTATACCATGGGTATGGGTTACATAAAAAAGATGTTAAACTGTCTCCCACCAAGGTACGATGACCTGACAAAGAAGAAAACAATTTCACTGTCACTCAATCGCTGTCTTACAAGAAGTGTGTTGACATGCAAGTTCACATGACCCTGCAAATCCCAACCCCCTCCTTCTGAGTGTAGGTGCTGTACTTCCCACCTACAGGACTCTAATCTGGCTGACTGCTTTCCTTGAATCCCTTCATGAATATTACCTTGCTCACAGTCCAACAGCATGTCAAATCATATAAACCGCTTGCCTCTGTGTAATCCTATCAAACACACTTATGCAAGCTTCTTGGATATCCTCTAGGACTCAAAACCTCTTGTACTCCTTCCCTTCAACCTTCCCTACCCTTCCTTTCCTCCACCCCAGATTTATAAACCATCCTGGGTAACAAATTAAATATTGAAGATAATATACCATAATTTTAATTCTACTCCTGTAGTTACAAATAGGTAATTACACTTGTTTATAATACACATAAGACCAAGAAACCAGGAATCATAAATCCAACTGGGTTTAAAGGTAGATAAAGTAACGTGCACATGGTAATCTGTATTCTTCACAAGTGCAAGTCTGTGTACACACGCCCAATCATGCAAAGCAGGACTGGAATGTACGAGTTGTTTATTTTATATCTCAGTGTGCATTTTTTATTGTTGCTATAATAAATTACAGGCATGTCTTGCTACTTCTACTTACACTTAGGTCACACTACACATACATGTACACATTTATTTATACACACTCATCTGAGTTTTCTTTCATTTTATCTTAATAGTTCTTGGTCTTATTAATTTTCCTTTTATATCCATGGGGAAGTGGAATAAGAATCTTTCCTCCGTAAGCCATGCGTGTTGTAAAAGTCAACTAAAATGCCGGGAACAATGGGCTAGTAACCCCTTTTCCTGTAAAGATTACTAAAAAGAATAAGAAGAAGAAAATTGTCAAAGTGGGAAGTCTGAATGTGCGTGGATGTTGTGCAGATGATAAGAAAGAGATGATTGTGGATGTTATGAATGAGAAGAAGCTGGATGTCCTGGCTTTAAGTGAAACAAAGCTGAAGGGGGTGGGAGAGTTTCAGTGAGAGGAATAAATGGGATTAGGTCAGGGGTTTCAAATAGAGTTAGAGCTAAAGAAGGAGTAGCAATAATGTTGAAGGATAAGCTATGGCAGGAAAAGAGGGACTATAAATGTATTAATTCAAGGATTATGTGGAGTAAAATAAAGATTGGATGTGAAAAGTGGGTTATAATAAGCGTGTATGCACCTGGAGAAGAGAGAAGTGTAGAGGAGAGAGAGAGATTTTGGGAAATGTTGAGTGAATGCGTGGGAGTTTTGAATCAAGTGTGAGAGTAATGGTGGTTGGGGATTTTAATGCTAAAGTGGGTAAAAATGTTATGGAGGGAGTAGTAGGTAAATTTGGGGTGCCAGGGGTAAATGTAAATGGGGAGCCTTTAATTGAGCTATGTGTAGAAAGAAATTTGGTAATAAGTAATACATATTTTACGAAAAAGAGATAAATAAATATACAAGGTATGATGTAGCACGTAATGAAAGTAGTTTATTAGATTATGTATTGGTGGATAAAAGGTTGATGGGTAGGCTCCAGGATGTACATGTTTATAGAGGGCAACTGATATATCGGATCATTATTTAGTTGTAGCTACAGTTAGAGTAAGAGGTAGATGGGAAAAGAGGAAGGTGGCAACAACAAGTAAGAGGGAGGTGAAAGTGTATAAACTAAGGGAGGAGGAAGTTCGGGTGAGATATAAGCGACTATTGGCAGAAAGGTGGGCTAGTGCAAAGATGAGTAGTGGGGGGGTTGAAGAGGGTTGGAATAGTTTTAAAAATGCAGTATTAGAATGTGGGGCAGAAGTTTGTGGTTATAGGAGGGTGGGGGCAGGAGGAAAGAGGAGTGATTGGTGGAATGATGAAGTAAAGGTGTGATAAAAGAGAAAAAGGTAGCTTATGAGAGGTTTTTACAAAGCAGAAGTGTTATAAGAAGAGCAGAGTATATGGAGAGTAAAAGAAAGGTAAAGAGAGTGGTGAGAGAGTGCAAAAGGAGAGCAGATGATAGAGTGGGAGAGGCACTGTCAAGAAATTTTAATGAAAATAAGAAAAAATTTTGGAGTGAGTTAAACAAGTTAAGAAAGCCTAGGGAAAATATGGATTTGTCAGTTAAAAACAGAGTAGGGGAGTTAGTAGATGGGGAGATGGAGGTATTGGGTAGATGGCGAGAATATTTTGAGGAACTTTTAAATGTTAAGGAAGAAACAGAGGCAGTAATTTCATGCACTGGTCAGGGAGGTATACCATCTTTTAGGAGTGAAGAAGAGCAGAATGTAAGTGTGGGGGAGGTACGTGAGGCATTACGTAAAATGAAAGGGGGTAAAGCAGCTGGAACTGATGGGATCATGACAGAAATGTTAAAAGCAGGGGGGGATATAGTGTTGGAGTGGTTGGTACTTTTGTTTAATAAATGTATGAAAGAGGGGAAGGTACCTAGGATTGGCAGAGAGCATGTATAGTCCCTTTATATAAAGGGAAAGGGGACAAAAGAGACTGTAAAAATTATAGAGGAATAAGCTTACTGAGTATACCAGGAAAAGTGTACGGTAGGGTTATAATTGAAAGAATTAGAGGTAAGACAGAATGTAGGATTGCGGATGAGCAAGGAGGTTTTAGAGTGGGTAGGGGATGTGTAGATCAGGTGTTTACATTGAAGCATATATGTGAACAGTATTTAGATAAAGATAGGGAAGTTTTTATTGCATTTATGGATTTAGAAAAGGCATATGATAGAGTGGATAGAGGAGCAATGTGGCAGATGTTGCAAGTATATGGAATAGGTGGTAAGTTATTAAATGCTGTAAAGAGTTTTTATGAGGATAGTGAGGCTCAGGTTAGGGTGTGTAGAAGAGAGGGAGACTACTTCCCGGTAAAAGTAGGTCTTAGACAGGGATGTGTAATGTCACCATGGTTGTTTAATATATTTATAGATGGGGTTGTAAAGGAAGTAAATGCTAGGGTGTTTGGGAGAGGGGTGGGATTAAATTATGGGGAATCAAATTCAAAATGGGAATTGACACAGTTACTTTTTGCTGATGATACTGTGCTTATGGGAGATTCTAAAGAAAAATTGCAAAGGTTAGTGGATGAGTTTGGGAATGTGTGTAAAGGTAGAAAGTTGAAAGTGAACATAGAAAAGAGTAAGGTGATGAGGGTGTCAAATGATTTAGATAAAGAAAAATTGGATATCAAATTGGGGAGGAGGAGTATGGAAGAAGTGAATGTTTTCAGATACTTGGGAGTTGACGTGTCGGCGGATGGATTTATGAAGGATGAGGTTAATCATAGAATTGATGAGGGAAAAAAGGTGAGTGGTGCGTTGAGGTATATGTGGAGTCAAAAAACGTTATCTATGGAGGCAAAGAAGGGAATGTATGAAAGTATAGTAGTACCAACACTCTTATATGGGTGTGAAGCTTGGGTGGTAAATGCAGCAGCGAGGAGACGGTTGGAGCAGCGGAGATGTCCTGTTTAAGGGCAATGTGTGGTGTAAATATTATGCAGAAAATTCGGAGTGTGGAAATTAGGAGAAGGTGTGGAGTTAATAAAAGTATTAGTCAGAGGGCAGAAGAGGGGTTGTTGAGGTGGTTTGGTCATTTAGAGAGAATGGATCACAGTAGAATGACATGGAAAGCATATAAATCTATAGGGGAAGGAAGGCGGGGTAGGGTCGTCCTCGAAAGGGTTGGAGAGAGGGGGTAAAGGAGGTTTTGTGGGTAAGGGGCTTGGACTTCCAGCAAGCGTGCGTGAGCGTGTTAGATAGGAGTGAATGGAGACGAATGGTACTTGGGACCTGACGATCTGTTGGAGTGTGAGCAGGGTAATATTTAGTGAAGGGATTCAGGGAAACCGGTTATTTTCATATAGTCGGACTTGAGTCCTGGAAATGGGAAGTACAATGCCTGCACTTTAAAGGAGGGGTTTGGGATATTGGCAGTTTGGAGGGATATGTTGTGTATCTTTATATGTTTATGCTTCTAGACTGTTGTATTCTGAGCACCTCTGCAAAAACAGTGATAATGTGCGAGTGTGGTGAAAGTGTTGAATGATGATGAAAGTATTTTCTTTTTGGGGATTTTCTTTCTTTTTTGGGTCACCCTGCCTCGGTGGGAGACGGCCGACTTGTTGAAAAAAAAAAAAAAAAAAAAAAAAATAATAAATTTTTGTATGTAAAGTTTTATGGTGTTAGTGAGTCCTAATTTATGAGTGTATTTACAGTTCAAGTAGGATACCAACATGTCAGTGTACTTAGTTATAACTTGCCCCTGCAGCTGGCTCCCACCGGCGACCTTACCGTGAGTTGTGGGTCCATGCTGAGCGAGATGCTGCAAACGTGGACGTGTTGTCATCATTGTTGCAGGATGCACCGCAGCTCATCATGCAGCTCTACATCATGACACAAACCATCCCTGATCAGGCACTCCAAGGCCAGATCAGTCAGACATGTAAGTCTCCTCCATCTTTAGATTTAGATCTAGATTTAGATTTATTTATTTCTTTGCAGTGTTTACAATGTATGATTACAATTTTGATTTGTTAAGTACAAAGAAAGCAACTATCATGCCAGGGCATTTTGGGCTGACTAAACCTAATTCATACTAGTGTATGGAGAAGAGTAAATTTTTATAGCTTACTGTTTTTATCCTACATTGTTACTACTACCTTTCATGCTGTATGATCCATGTGCTTTTGGCACTTGTTTTTAGCATTGTAGTAATAATAATACATTTGTTATACAGTATCTCTAGGCTTAATTTAAGAGCATTTAATAAGTACAGTGGAACTCCAAGTTTCGGCCGCCCTGAGTATCAGCCACTTTGAGTTTTGACTGCTTTTTTCGGCTAAATTTTGTCCTGAGTTTCGGCCTGTGCCCCATGTTTCGGCCGGCATACCAGACCTGTCCGCCTGTGCACTTGCCCATGCAGGCATCATGAGCCAGTCTAGTTTTGTTTATCCTTGAGTGACCATTACCCAGTGTGCTCATCCTAACATTTCACAATAAATTCATTGTGTTTACTGCTCGTTTATTGATTGTGACTGTGATATAAGCCACCATGGGCCCAAAGAAACTGTATAGTGGCACCCCTTTGGTAAAGAAAGTGAAAAACACGATAGAATTGAAGAAATAAATTGTAGCAAAGTACCAAAGTGGAGGAGGAAGAGAGAGGGGAGAATGTGCCTTCTTAGTGATTCTATGATATGTATGATACTAAAGCAGCACGAGTCATTAAAGGCTATAGTGCCAGCCAGTGATAAAGTGTAGCATTAACCCTTTCAGGGTCCATTCCGTAGATCTACGGCTTTATGGTGAGTGTCCAAACCGTAGATCTACGCCATGAGCTCAGCTCACTCTGATAAACTGTGAGTGGTACATTTGGGCCTAGATATGAGAGAATACATCTATGTGGTATGTGTGCACCACATAAAACAGATCCTGCAGCACGCTGTGTATAATGAGAGAAAAAAACTGAAATCATGATTTTTCGATTAAAACAGCAACTTTGCAGTGTTTTTTCGTATGTTTTTTATAGGTGTATTTGCGATTTCTTGGTCTCATTTGATAGAATGGAAGACATATTACAGAAATAGAAATTATTTTGATTGGTTTTAGCACTGGAAATGGCTTGAAACTGAGCTCAAAGTAGCGGAAATGTTAAATTTTTGCCAATATTCAAGAGTAAACAAACGACCTCACACGTCTAATACACGTCAGCTGGTGGGTCTAATATACATTCACAAATATGGTGATGATATTTATACAATTATTACAGTATTGCATAACAGTAAATCTTCTATTTTTTGGTGTGAATAAAAATTCATTATGTGAATAAAAAATAAAAATGGACTTTATTTGTAAAGCCTCAAAACATAACTAATGAACAGAGGAAATGTTAGTTTAGTGCCAGGAATGCCTACATTGTTTATTCTGGACCCTATTTTGAAATTGGAATATTTTGAACTTTGTGTTAAATTGGCCAAATTAACAATTTCCGATCACTTTATTTTGTAGTTGAAACAGTTGACTTGGCGATTTCTTGTGCTCAATCGATAGAATAGAAGTAATACTAGTGAAATAGCTAAGAATTTGGTTGATTGGAATAATGTAATTGGCCTAAAATGGGAGTCAAAGTCAGCAAAATCGCCGATTCGTAAATATCGCTGACACATCAAAATTCGCGAGAGCATAATTTCGTCAATTTTCCACCAAATTTCGTACTTTTTGTTTTATTACCTTCACAAAAAGATTCTCTACGATTTCATAAGAAAAAATAAAAAATTTTTTTTTTGAAAATTCTTGGACACTGGTGCGTGACTCCAGATTTGGGCCTTGGACCCTGAAAGGGTTAACAGTGTAGCAAGTAAGTTAAGCGATTAATTGATAGAAAAAGGACAGCATGAAACTGACTCCTCCAATGTTGTTGGAGTTATATAGGGTGACTGACAACACTGTCATCTCTGCTGCTGCCATCACCACCTCTTTGTAAGGCTTATCTTTCAGTGGCCCTTGTACACCCAACAGCAAACAACACAGCAACACTCGTCAGTTAGGGAGAGAGACATATGACATATTTTATTCATTCTAGAATATATATCATGTTTCTATGTTATTAACCCTTTGACTGTCACAAGCCCATTTCTGAAACTGTTATTCTGCGTCGAAAAATATTTGAAAAATTTTTTTTTTTTTCTTACCAAAATGTTAGGATTATTTTACCGTGTGTTTTAAGCCTAAAAAATTTTTTTTGACATCAGTACTTACCAAGATATAGAGGCGCAAAGTTGGCAGAAAATGAGCCGTATATGCCAACAGCGGCGAATGCTGCTCACCCGGTATTTTATTTACTCCAATTCGAAGGTTTCTTGTATTTTCCAATATTTTTCTTTTCTAAGTAACTTATGTGGCCTGTAAGACCAAAGTAAGGTGCATTGTTCAAATATACACTCATTGTATACAACACAATAACCACACAAACATTATCATTATTATATTGTTTAGAAAACTTGTTTACACAAACCAACAATGCAAAAAAATTTTTATTACTATTGTTCTATAATATATATACAGATGTACAGTTCTAGGAGAGTGTTCAGTGACAGTCACTGAACACTTTCCTAGAACTGCTACAGCTTGTGGAAGTCTTTGAAACATGGGTATATGGAGAGTGGTACTTCACACTCCTCACACATAAAACGAGTGTCTCTGCATTTTTGTGGGCATTTTGTGGTATGTGCACAGACAAAACACCTCTTCTTAGAATTTTTCTTGAAAGCAGTAGGAGGCAGTGGTATGGGGTAGAGATCACCAGGCCTCAGGCGAGATGGAATGTGTTGGTAATTTCGTGGGCGCTGGTCTATTGCAGGTGTTGCTCCTTGGTACTTGAATATTGTTTGTCTGGTGACTGACTGACAAAATTCACCATATTTTGGTTTGTTGTTGGTCTTCAACTTGTACATATATGTTATAAGCATTCACCATGGAAATATCAAGAAGATGGAAAAAAAGTTTTATGTACCACTTATAACTCTTGTGAACACAATCAGCAAACCCAATCTGCATGTCACATTTGTCCACTAAGCACATATTGAGGTTGTAGTCCATCACAGCTGCAGGTTTTAGAATGGGTTCAATGGTCTCTATTCTGCCTGCCACTGTCTGCCATTTCATTTCAGTAATCTGATGTCAACAATGTGACATCACGTTTGTCATGCCACCGAAATGCCATGATGTCATTGGCAGCAAAAGCCTGCACCTCACCTCTGTGAGTGCCTGCGTTGAACCTAGGCATATGTTTATGATTACCAAACACTGTACCACACACGTCTGTCATGTTCACTCGCAAGAAGTCAGAGTAAGGGGCTTGTGTACCAGTTATCAGTATATAATATATGCCCCTTACCAAGATATGGTTCCATCATTGTTCTAACCACATCACCAGTGATACTCAATAACTTCCTGGTATCTCTCAGTGTATTACTGCCAGTGTACACAGTTATATCCAAAACCAGATCACTTTTGCACTCACACAGTACAAATAACGTTATACCAAAGCGTTTCCTCTTGCTAGGTATATACTGCTTGAACGACAGTCTGCCTTTGAACAAAATCAAAGACTCATCAATAACAAGCTTCCTGAAGGGATAAAAATACATACAGCATTTTTGTTTCAGGTACATGAACACATTCCTGATCTTATATAACCTGTCGTTTCTGTCAGGCCTTGTTTTGTCTGAGAAGTGTAGCATACGTAACAGTATCAGAAAACGATTCACTGGTATAATATCACTAAAACCTGGGGTTGAAATCAGGCGTTCCGTCGACCAGTGTGTTGTGACCGTGTGCTTATACACATGTGGCATAAGAACGGGTACATCTCTGCCACAGTTGTGTCCTTCCACTGGTGTAGCCATGACCTTGGTGAAAGAATTGTATTTGCCATGGTGTACTCATAGTTTGTGTTGCTTTCCTTGACAATAATTTCCATCAGGGATTCATCGAAGAATAACTGAAAGCATTCCAGTTCAGTGGCATTGTTCCCAAGTGTACACGATGGCTGTATTCCACTTTGTGTTTCCTCAAAGTCATGGGGATTGGGAACAAAATTGGCAACTTGCTGCCAATCCCAGATGCGTTCTGCTGGTGGGTTCTGGATATTGAAATGTGGTTGTGGATGTGGATGTTGTGGGAGTTTGGGGGTGGTTGAGGGTGGTTGTGGCCGTGCTGAGTTAGCAGCGTGGGTAGCAGCATGGCCCACTGCTGGTGCCACATGACTCATGCCATAGCCAACACCACCACCACCTGCTGCCCCATGCACATTACACATCCCCATTGTAACAATATCGTCACCTTCACTCTCAGGTCGTGTAGGGCCACGGGATGTACTCCGAGATTTACTCTTTTGCCTTGGAATGACATATGGCACACTACCAGAATGCATGCTGCAGTTTCACTGGTGAATATTCCCCCTCACTGTCGCAACTCGAGCTGCTTTCAATAACTTAGAAATCATTATCACTTTCATTGCTCAAATCCGAGTCCTGTAGATGAGGAAATAGTTTCCTTTTTCGTCCTGGCATAGGTGAACATGAATGAGATGGCCCAACACCAGAGGTGGAAGGTTGAGGGTCAACTGGGTTTTCATTACTAATTACATCATCCTGAGCACTGCTTTCGGTCACACCCTCTTGAAAACCATGGAATTCACTTTCACTGGCACTTCCATCGGTGTTAGAACTATCACTTGGGAACAGAAGACCTCCAATTCGGCGAGGAGTGAGGTACTTCTTAACGCGAGGCATGGTGAACAAGGACTACCAAGATGGCATTCCCACAATGCACCACTGAGTCCCCGATTTTTTTCACAGGGTGCACACCTACCATGCAGACCCATTCTCTCACATGTAGGCCTACCAGCTTTCTCCCGCTTGATTTGAAGTCGCTAGAATTTACGCGTATTAATGTTGGAAACATTAGCTCGTAAGACGTATATATACAACCAGAACAGTCAAGGGTTAATATTGTTTGTCATATTAGATGAATTGTGCTAGATAAATAAGCCGTAGAGTTAATATTAGTGTCATATTGAAGGACTATCTTGTCCTGCCTCCAAACAAACTCTCCTGCCTCTCTCATATGCCAACAAGGTGCTAAACCTGTAAGAGTCATACAGTGCCTAGAAAACATGAGACAGGTTTGATCCAAGGAGGGAGGGTAGCTCCAATTCCTTGAATCATGATACCTTCACTGGCATCGAAGGAATCCCCCTAAACTGGAAAGATAAATAAGAGAGAGTTAAGTTGGATTGTTGTTTAAAAATTGCAGCAAATTCTTTTTAACTCGCTTGTCTTGTTGATTTCTGTACACCGACTGTCAATTAACTATTTTAGCAAGATGTAATTACTACATTTTCGATACTCTACATATAATAAGGAAAACATAGGGTTTGCTAATTATTATTTTTGTGTACATCATGTATTTATTCCTCATCAAACTGGTTGATATAAATGATCATTTAACATCAAAATAGGTATGCAAATGTGCATTCTGAGACCTGAGTCCCTTTCTGCCACAAAAATAGCATTCATGATTTTTGTCCTGTATGTTATTTCCTTAACCCTGCTTGATAAATTCCCTAATACATACAGTCCTGTAATTGTCACTTAAATTATTGCTGTTAAAATAAAAAAAAATTATTTCTTTCCTAAGGTTACAATGTGTGTTTACATTTCATAATTTGATTGGAACAAAGAAAGCCACTATCGTGCTGAGATATTTCGGGCATACTTAACCTAATACATGTACTTATAGACTGCTTAAGTCTAGACAAGTGAAGTGATAAAATACAAATATTCATTATTTTATTGTTATTAATATGAAGTAGTACAATTTATGATACAAACAAACATATATTCATGATGAAGTGCTAAACCTAAGAGTCATACAATGCCTAGTGAGTAGTGCTAATCAGGTTTCACTTGAGAAAGGGTAGTGTTGTCCCAGTTCCTTGGACCACTAACGTTTCACCAGAGTGAAGGCAATCTCCTTAAGACATCATTCTTACGTGCAGTTTATTAATAAACATTATACAGTTGTGTTTATTATTATTTTTTAACACTTATTTTCTATCATTGAGGTAGGGTGACCTAAATTAGAAGAGAGAATGCTTTCACTGTTGCTTAATCAATTAGTCTTGCCAGAAGTGTACTGACATCACAGTTCAGATGACCCTCTAAGCTGCTATATCCCTACCCCTCATTAATATTATTATATTCATATGTAATTACCAAGCCCAAATGGGTCATATAGTTGTGCTCAGAGACTAAGTTTGCATAACTTATACAGTACATTATTGTAGTCCTGCATGCACTACTACCATTACTATTATTCTCTTGCAGTGATGATGCAGCTTTTGTCAGTTGGAGCCTCACTGGTGGCTATGGCACTGTCTGTGGCGTCCTTCTCCAAGGCCACACGTCTGGCTGAACCATCTCTAGGGAATCTGAGTCCAGCAGGTCTTCTTCTGCTCTCCCTATCTCATTTCTGCTCTATTGCTCCTCAGGTAAGTACTTACACAGCACTCAAATTGTAGGTACTGTCTATAAGTGATCAAAAGTTTTTGTGGTTGTTTTGAAATGTTTGAGGTGCAGTGACTGAAATCCTAAAGCTTTTGCTGCATCCCTCAGTTAATTATCAGACATAAGTAATACCAGTAGTAGGTTGGTAGACAGCAACCGCCCAGGGAGGTACTACTGTCCTGCCAAGTTGAGTGTAAAACGAAAGCCTGTAATTGTTTTACATGATGGTAGGATTGCTGGTGTCCATTTTTTGTCTCATAAACATGCAAGGTTTCAGGTACGTCTTGCTACTTCTACTTACACTTAGGTCACACTACACATACATGTACAAGCATATATATATACACACCCCTCTGGGTTTTCTTCTATTTTCTTACTAGTTCTTGTTCTTGTTTATTTCCTCTTATCTCCATGGGGAAGTGGGACAGAATTCTTCCTCCGTAAGCTATGCGTGTTGTAAGAGGCGACTAAAATGCCAGGAGCAAGGGGCTAGTAACCCCTTCTCCTGTATAAATTACTAAATTTAAAAAGAGAAACTTTTGTTTTTCTTTTTGGGCCACCCTGCCTTGGTGGGATACGGCCGGTTTGTTAAAAAAAAAAAAAAAAAAGTAATACCATTACTATGTGTATCTGTAGCCCAAATTACATTTAAGGGGATACTACCTGCTCTGCTTAGATTCATGTCCACATGATGCCGTGTTTATACAATTCATTATTTTGATTTTGTTATTACAAGGTGGTGTTACAATGGTTTAGAGAACAGCATTAGCAGTTTTACGGGTCCCCCTTTTATGCATAGCATTACAGTTGAGACAAATTAAATTGTGATAAATGACAGTTATTGCTGAAGAATTAAATTGTGCTAAATGACAGTTATTGCTGAAGAATTGCAGAAACACAGTATTTGACCCATAGTGAACCTTTATTATTGACATTTTGCTCTGGGTAGAGCCTCTACCCAGAGCAAAATGTCTGTAATAAAGATTTACTCTGCACTGACTCTTTACTTAGTTGGTTAGTTAATGGGGCTTAAAGCCTGTCAGCAAACAAGGGTAATCAAGGATGCATGTTAGCTGCTCAACAATCAAGAATGTTTTATACCCAACTATGAGCATAATGGGATTAAAGTAAACTCAAAGTGAATACACACTATAGGTAGTAGGTTGGTAGACAGCAACCGCCCAGGGAGGTACTACCGTCCTGCCAAGTGAGTGTAAAACGAAAGCCTGTAATTGTTTTACATGATGGTAGGATTGCTGGTGTCCTTTTTTCTGTCTCATGAACATGCAAGATTTCAGGTACGTCTTGCTACTTCTACTTACACTTAGGTCACACTACACATACATGTACAAGCACATATATACACACCCCTCTGGGTTTTCTTCTATTTTCTTTCTAGTTCTTATTCTTGTTTATTTCCTCTTATCTCCATGGGGAAGTGGAACAGAATTCTTCCTCCGTAAGCCATGCGTGTTGTAAGAGGCGACTAAAATGCCGGGAGCAAGGGGCTAGTAACCTCTTCTCCTGTATATATTACTAAATGTAAAAGGAGAAACTTTCGTTTTTCCTTTTGGGCCACCCCGCCTCGGTGGGATACGGCCGGTGTGTTGAAAGAAAGAAAGAATACACACTGAGACATATATATCCCTCCATGTGTACTGTTGCTCTCAGTACATACATCAAGAGAGCTGTGCTCATCAGTATAGTATTTATTTATTTATTTATTTATTTAAAAATTTGAGCACACATACAGAGGTACAAAAAATACAGATAAGAGCAGCATGCCAAAGCCACTTATACTATGCATAGCATTACGGGCTGGCTTAAAATTAACTTAAGATGAACTAAGCAATGATGACATCAGTGATAAAACTTTAATGTAAACAGATTACTATAAAGCACAAGTGAGTATTACAAAGACAGGTCATATGGTTGTATGCATTGTTGTACATTCAGTAGAATGGAGTATTCTGTTAGGTAGTGTATTTAAAAAATAATAAAGTTAGATTGGGTTTTAGGTTTAACATTTATGTGATATAATTGTGAGAAACATTTAAGATATACAATTTATAAGGTTCAGTTATTCAGTATTTATTTGGTTTTGGGTGAGTAAGTGATCTTTGAGAAGAGACTTGAATTTATAAACAGGTAGTGTTTCTTTTATATTTACAGGTAATGAGTTCCAGATTTTAGGGCCTTTTATGTGCATTGAGTTTTTGCATAGTGTGAGATGGACACGAGGAACATCAAAGAGTGATCTGTGCCTTGTGTTATGGTCATGTGTTCTGTTGAGGTTGGCAAGGAGATGTTTGAGGGGAGGGTTAATATCAGAGTTAAGTGTTCTATGTATGTAATAGGTGCAGTAATAAGTATGAATGTTTTGTATGGTGAGTAGTTTAGTGTATTGAATATTGGTGGAGTGTGCTGCCTATAGTGAAATTTGTTATCATTCTAACTGCAGCCTTTTGTTTGGTAATTAGTGGTCTGAGATGGTTACTTGTTGTTGAGCCCCATGCACAAATTCCATAGGTGAGATAGGGGTAAATAAGAGAGTGATATAGGGCCAGGAGGCTGACTGTGGGAGCATAGTACCGTATCTTCGATAGTATGCCTACAGTCTTGGAAATTTTCTTAGAGATTGTTGTAATGTGTATGAAATTTGAGTCTATTATCAAGGTGGAATTCCTAAGAATTTTCCCTCGTTAGCTTTGTGATAGGTGATCCGTTTATCATTATGTTAAGAGGACATCTGTAGCTCTGTTACCAAACTGAATGAAGTAGGTTTTGTCAATGTTTAGTGTAAGTTTGTTAGTCCTCATCCAGGTAGATATTTCTGTAATTCGGTATTTACAGTATTGGCTAGCGTGACTGGGCTCGGGTGGGAGAAGACGTATGTAGTGTCATCTGCAAATAGTGTGGGTTTGAGTAATTGCGAAGCATTTGGTAGGTCATTTATGTATAGGAGAAAGAGAAGAGGCCAAGGACACTTCCTGTGGGACACCAACTGTAATTGGTTGTGCAGAAGAGTTTGCCCCATTTGCATACACATATTGGCTTTGTTGCTGAGGTATGACTTGAGGTAGTTGAGGGAGTGCCCTCTTATACCATAGTGTGACAATTTACGTGGAGCAAGTCATGGTTAACTGTATCAAAAGCTTTACGTAAGTCAATGAAGATCCCCAGTGGGACTTCTTTTTTCTCTATTGCAGTGTATATATGTTCTAGCATGTGTATAATAGCATCATTAGTATTTTTATTTGGCCTGAATCCAAATTGGCAGGGGTTGAGTATGTTTTTGGGAGATAAGGTAGGAGTAGATTCGTTTTATGAATTAATTTTTCGAAGATTTTTGAGAGAGGGTGTAAGTTGGATATTGGCCTATAGTTATTCAACTCTGTTTGGTTTCCTCCTTTGTGGATCGGGGTGACCCTTGCTATTTTGAGTACTGTATGGAAGGTGGAGGATTCAATGGATTTGTTAAAGAGTGTTGCAATGATTGGTGATAGCACTTGTGACACTTTTTTGTATATAAAGGGTGGTAAGGTATTTAAATCTCCTGCCTTGTTTTTTAGCGTGTTGATAATAAGGGAGACTTCGTATGGGTTAGTCGGAGCTAGGAACAGCGTGTTCGGGTAGTTGCCAGTGAGGTAGTCATTTGGTGGGGTATCTGAGCTTGGGATTTTATTGGCAAGTTTTGTCCTATAGTGGAGAAGAAGTCATTGAGTCTGTTTGCTGTTTCTGTTGGTGGAGTTGGGGTTCATCTGATTTTGCTAATTTTATTTCGCTATTTCGTGATATCTTTTTTGTTCCTAGAATTTCTGATAGGGTTTTCCAGGTCTTTTTTATATCACCTCGTAATGTTGGATAATCTGTTCTCATAATACAATTTTTTTTGCCCTTCTTATCAGGCTGGTTAGGATTGACGAGTAACGTTTTGTTTGGTCTCTGGTTATGTGACCCATCTGTACTGTTTTTTCATATTGGTGTTTTGTATTATGGATTTGAGAATGCTGGGTGTTAACCAGGGACTGTTCAGTCTCTTAGCTGTCATCTGTTTAGTTTTTTTTAGGGCAGTGCTTGTTATAGAGGTATTGGGTCTTTTTTAGAAAATTATTAATACACTCGTCAATATCTGTATAGATTTCTAGCTCAGTGTGCCAGTCAATGTTTGCTACTGCTGTTGTGAAGTTATTAATGGCTGCCTCATTGTGAAGTCTGAAGGTGACTTTAGTAGTGTCTTGGGGTAATTTACCAAGAGTTGTTATGAGAAAAGTAGGGTAGTGGTCTGTGGTATTATCTGTAATTATGCCTGATTTTAAAGGGGATATGGTGTTGGTCCAGATGTGGTCAAGTAGGGAAACACTAGTCTCTGTAACTCTTGTAGGTTTTGTTACTGTTGGTAGCAACATACAGTTACTCATTGTGTTTGTGAATTCAGTAACGTGTGGGTCCTGGTCTTGCAGGAGATTTATACTGAAGTCACCTGAGAGTAGTAAGTGATCTTTGTTCATGCGTGCATCAGTTATACTTCCTAGGTTTTGACTAAATTGGCTAATGTTTGACTGTGGAACTCTGTAAATGTTTATCAATGTGAGAGGTTTTTGTAGGTATTTGGATTTGAATTTGGCTATTTTATATTCCCCATGTTCATCCCTTGTGCAAGTATTAGTGATACATTTAGTTGGTCTGAGTAGTATATGGCTGTGCCACCCCCTTGTTGGTCTGGCCTACAGTTGTGTATGGCTGTGTAACCAGGAATGGCATAGACATCTGTACTATCAGGCTTTAGCCAGGTTTCAGTTAGTGTAATGATGGACATATTGGCATGTAAGGAATTTAGTAATGCTATGAGGTCATCGTAATGCTTGCTTAAAGATCTGATATTGTAGTTAAAGATAGTTATGTTGTTGTTGGCACTGAGAAGTGCCTTTGATTGTTCTGCAGTGTAGTAATTACAGTAACTGTTTTGATTCATTTAAGTCAT